AACAACAATATTAGTTTTTCTCGGTATGTATTCATTATTTATTTTCAATCAAAAAAACATTATCTTTAATATGAACACAACATGTGTTGGGAGTTTGGGATCCCTTTAAGATGTTGATAAGGTTCTAAGTCTGATTTCTTTTTAAATAAACTTTTATTTTGGTTTCTTGCATTTAAACAGTCAAAGAATTTATCCATAATTGAACAAAGTTCAGCTGTAACATGTGTTTCACGAAGATAGCACTGATAAAGAAGATTTGCAACACTTGCACTTAAAACTTGTGTGACATATAATACAGAATATGCAGTTAAATGTACATGTTCATAACTAAGTTTTGGTAAAACCTCAAGAAAGTTATTTAGTTCATCTTGTACTATTTTAACTATATGGGACCAAACAATACTCTGATTACAGTTCCAAAGATTACCGTTATATTTACCCTCACCAGAGTAATACATGCAGTTTCTAAATGTTTTTATTAGATGTGGAGCATCTGCAAAAAAAATATATAAAACAATAAGGTGCATTTAAATTAATTGTGCAATACACAACATCTGAGCCATCCAGCCAATCCAGTGGATTGTCTAATCCACTATGCATTTTATAAAATGATTGATTTAGTGAGGCAATAGCTGAAACTGCAACAACTACTTTTAAGATACAACAAGAAAAGTTCTAATATAGAGACAGTTTTCCAAAATGTTGACATTATTTACATTGCTGTTACACCATTAGTAGCCAAATAAGCCAACAAAATTTGAGACTGCATGCAATTCCATTTTATATAATATACTAGAAAGTAACTGGCTAAATCGTTTATATCATCAAGGTGGAAAAGTTTATAGTTTAATCAAATTTTATAAAATGTTTATAGTTTAATCAAATTTATATCAGTAAAGGTGGAAAAGTTTATTTCAGGGTTTCCAAGATCAACATATCCAATGAGTTCACCTGATGACTTGTTAAATACTAAATTGTCCGCCTACTAGGAAGTGTTAAAACTTTAGCATCTCATCATCAACATGCTGAGACTGATTTAGATGCGAAAGAAAAAATTGAATTATTATTGGATGATATCGTTAATAAACAACTCTGTTCTTTACAAGTTTTTAAACAACTCTGTTCTTCCCAGAAAAGTTTAATAAGTGGCATCAGATTTTTTTGGTTTTTACTAATTATAATATTAGGATCAGAACTTAAACAAATGCTGACTTGAATACCTTTAGCCTGTATTTCCTTCTGCATTCTTTCAATATTCTGCAAAAGTTTTTTATTTTTAGAACGCTCTTTAACTAGTGCTAACTTTACATGATTTGGATGTGTGACAGATAACAGAGCATTTAAATGAGCTGGTTGATCAATTTTTTTGAAGTACTAACTTTACTTTTAATTAAATTAATTTCAAAATTTAAACATTTTACACATTTTTCACAGTCAGAACCAATAATAAAACAGTCTTTGTGTTGTTTATATTGATTAACTTGAAATGATACTCTTTTTTTGTTAAGGTCAAGTTTAGGAGGAATAGAATGATTTATTAGATTTCCATTTTTATTGCAATCTAACAAGTCATATGTTATGCCAGTACACATCTGTTAAGATTCAACTTTATTTAACAATATTGATATGGTAACACAACAAACTGATTGTAAAAACTCTTTATACAAGTGATGGTCATCAGGCAATGTCCATCCATAAACAATAAAAAAAAATTCTAGACTACATACATTAACAACTTCTAAATGTGGTACAAACGTAAAAGTTTGAAAAGATTTAAATGAAACAAAGTTTTCATTATATGATATAAACCAATTGAGTTTAAGCTTCTCTACTATATTAGTAAGTTCATTAAAATTTTTGCATTTGTCTATATGTTTTTCTTCTGTAGTCAAAATATCTTTAACAATAGATATATATCTTCTTTCAGGTGCTTTAATAGTTTCATAAGATTTTTTAGGAATGTTGAGCAATGGTATTGCACCAAGCTTCAATATTTTTCAACCAGTTTCTATAATATAAAAACAATAACGTAATTAGAAATAATTAAAACAACCCTTATCTACTGCTACACAAAAAAAAAAAGATTTTACTTTGGTTTTTTAAAAATCTGGTTTTTTAAAGATCTGAGAGATTTCAATTAGGAATATTTTAAATAATAATATTTTAACATTAAAATAAAAAAAGAAAATAACTCAGAAAAACATACTTGTAAACTTAACATCTGTTGGTTCAAAATAAAGTTCACAAAGAAAGATATTTCCATTTGCAATGCGCTCTTTGAGATGCTTTTCAAAATTTCTACATTTTAATGCTTGTCAAAATTCCTACATTTTGACAAAATGTTTAATTCTTTTGTTTTTCCAATATTGATGAAAAATATCAGGCTGATTTGGAAGTTGAAATATACCAATACCTTGGTATTTAGAGTTTTTTGTAACTCAATTCAAGCATCCAATCAACCCTCGGAATTAGGAAAAATGAGGTGGGCAAAAAATTGCCGACCTCAAACTTTTTGAGGTCAGCATCAGGTTGGCAAAAATTATTTGATACAAAGGTCTGACCATAAAACATAGAAACAAGGTCGGCAAATTTTGTCCAACCTTAAACACTTTCAGGTAGGCAGTTAGGTCGGCAAGACCATGCCGACCCTAATTCCTAGGGTTGATATATATATATATATATATATATATATATATATATATATATATATATATATATATATATATATATATATATATATATATATATATATATATATATATATATATATATATACACACACACACATATATATCCTTATCTCGTAGTCGAAAGAGACTTTTAATGTAAAAAAAGTCTCTTTTAACAACAATTTTGCTACCTTGACAATTAAGTTACATTTTATTGTTGTCAAAAAGTTAAAACAATTAAAATTAATGCGAAAGTACGTTAAGTTTTATCATTTTTTTAAAAACCGCAATAATGGCTAGAAAGCTTTTTTCAATTAATAATAATAGTGTTTTTGTTTTCTAAAAACATTTTTTTATAACATGCCCGAGTGCTCTATCGACTATCTTATAGCCTGACTCCCAACAGAGTGTTGCAACATCAAGTATCTTATAGCCTGACTCACAACAGAGTGCTGCTACATATATATATATATATATATATATATATATATATATATATATATATATATATATATATATATATATATATATATATATATATATATATATATATATATATATATATATATATATATATATATATATATATATACAGTATTGGACAAAACATTTGCAACCAACATCAAACAATGCTAAAAAGTGTTCCTAATTTTACATTTCTTAAAAACGAAACGAACTATACTACCACAGCAAACAGCTCAGGAGTCTGGAGTCATAGCATACCATGACATGATCAATGAGCTGACAAGTAACAGCACACAAGCAGAATTTCGTTGACAAGTGCCATTTTGCAGCGGACAAAACAAGTGCAACTTTTTTGGTTTGTTTCATTTTCTTAAGACTGGTCTGTGTCAACATCACGGAAGTTTTTTAATAAATAAAGGAAGTATCCAGAAGTTTCCAGAAGCATGCAGAAGCTTCCAGAAGAAGCATCTGGAAGCATCCAGAAGCATCTAGAAGTATCCAAAAGCATCTAGATTCTTCCAGAACAGGTTGACACAGGTTCATTTTACTATATAAGAGACATGTAAACCAACATGTAATTCAGTCAATATATGGAAGTCAATCAGCCAGTATTATCAAGACAGTTTATCGAAGTGAGTTTTATCAAAGTGTTTTACCGAAGAACATTAATACAAGAATCGAAATACAACAAGTGTTTCATTACATCAATACAGTCCACATCCAACCAAGACATAGTGTTCCACAGAGCATTATTGTATCATCACAAGGTAAATGTATCAAGGTAAGCCTTGAGAAGTGTGAATATTTATTTTCATTATTTTTATAACTTCAAGTGCAAAAATGGCTCCTGACAATCTTGGATTGGAACTAAGAAAAAAAAATTATTGGCGATTTCATAAGTGGAATGTCACAAAAAAGTATTTGTGATAAATATCACATGAAAAAATGGTCGGTATCAACACTATGTTCCAAATATCATTCTACGGGGAAGTTGGCAACAGATAACAAAGATGGAAGACCACATTCTACCACTTCTAGAGAGGATTCTATGATTGTCAGATCCGTCAAGAAGGATCCCTGGATATCATCAGTCAAGATACAAAAGTAATTAGAGCTTCCTGTATCGGACCAAACAATCAGACGGCGTGCTGTTGAAACCAAATTATTTTTTCAACGCCCTGTAAAGAAACTGTTGATTTCACTAGAGAACCAGAAAGAAAAACTCCTGTCTGCTACATCTCATATTGACTGGAATGTGCAGAAATGGCAAACTGTCCTGTTCAGTGATGAATCGAAGTTTAACATCATTGGGAGCGATGGCAGTGTGTCCGAAACACACTGCAAAAATAGTCAAGCAGTGGTTTCAAAACAACCACCTATCGGTGATGGATTGGCTGCCTCAATCTCTGAATTTCAACCCTATCGAGAACCTGTGGGAGATCATTAACTGCAGAATTAATCGTGAAGGTGTTTGTAATAAGGATCAAGTGTTATATATATATATATATATATATATATATATATATATAACATTTATATAACATTAAATGATAAATATATATATATATATATATATATATATATATATATATATATATATATATATATATATATATATATATATATATATATATATATATATATAAAAGATACATATGGATAGTATTTTTTTTTTGTCAAAAATTGTACATAAAAATTTTTATGTTTTTTTCATGTCTAGAATGTATTCTAGATATGGAGAAAATCTTTAAAATCAATAATAGTTGATATCAAGTTGTTAAAAAACAAATCATTTATAAATCACTCATAGAAGATAATAAATACAGATAAATAAAGAAAGTAAAAAAATTAACAAAATAAATATACCAGAGTTTATGATCTTTAATGCTTGAATTCCAGTAAAAATTATTGAAAACTGTTGATACTTTGAAATTTCTTTTATATCACAAAGATGTGCAACAACAGAATATTCTCTCGCACCAAGTTGTACAAACAGCAGTTGTTTTGTAGTGAGAACAATTCGACCCATTCCTTTACTAGTATTAATTTCTGCAGAAACTTTTAGTATACGATCTGCAACATCAATCTTTTGATAAGAAATGCAAAAAATTGTAAAAAAATAACAACAGCAGTATTGTGTGGCAACCCAGATTTGTTCAATAATTCAAGGTGGCCTCACAAATATTATTTAATGAAAATCTAGTTTTGCAATGTGATGCAATACTGAAAAAAAAAACCCTGCAGGAGCTTCAGTACATAAATAAACTAACATGACAACATGCAATAGAGTTGGTGCTATATTGACTGAAAGTTGTTTTGTTATTTCATCTTTTTGTAAAAAAATAATCTGACATCTTTTTTAAAAAAAAATTCAAGTCATATTATTTTTAAGTCAGAAAAAAAAAATCAGTAAATTTCTATTTATATGCGCTGTAATATATACATATATATATATATATATATATATATATATATATGTATGTATGTATATATATATATATATATATATATATATATATATATATATATATATACACATACATATATATATATACACACATATATACTATATGTGTTACTGTTACCCGCAGTACCAGGAATCAGCTAAATACTATTGTTTATAATATAAATTAATATTGCAAATCTGAGTTTCATGTGTTACCACAATCATTAAGCAAATAACAAAAGTTTAATTTTGCTATGATTTGTTTAGTGAGTGTTATGGTTTTGACTGTAATTACACAATTGTGGTAACAAATAAAACTAAGAATTGCAATATTAAATTATATTATAAACATTAGCATTTAGCTGATTCCTGGTACTGCGGGTAACAGTAACATATATACTATATAGCTCTAGTTTATCTGTTGAGCACTCTTTTAAGTATACAATGTTATACATAAAAATATATAGATTTTTTTTTTCATATATATATATACATATATATATATATATATATATATATATATATATATATATATATATATATATATATATATATATATATATATATATATATATATATATATATATATATATATATATAAATATATATATATATATATATATATATATATATATATATATATATATATATATATATATATATATATATATATACATATATAACCCTTGGAGTTAGGAAAAATGAGGTTGGCAATAACTTGCCGTCCTTAATCTTTTAGAGGCAAAAAAAATTTGATAAAAAGGTCTTACCTTAAATCATAGAAACAAGTTTGGCAATTATTTGCCGACCTCAAACACTATATATATATATATATATATATATATATATATATATATATATATATATATATATATATATATATATATATATATATATATATATATATATATAAATATATATATATATATATATATATATATATATATATATATATATATATATATATATATATATATATATATATATATATATATATATAAATATATAATGGATCAATAAAAATAACTATTTTCTGCAAGTTAGTTGAATCCTTCACTTATCATTCTTTCCAATTACTTTCACATTTGCATAATCCCTTTTTTTTTTTTTGTATTTTTAAGGAGATCTTCAATCAATTTAACACCACATTCAGCAATGATGTTTGTCTATGGAATATGAAGTGCACTATCTACTTTGCCCCAGTGTTTCATAAAGTACTTTGAAGCAGCAGTACACTTAGTCAATACATCCATGGTCATACGATTTATCATTAAATAATTGTTTGCCGAACCAAAGATTTTTCCATGGATTTAAAATAAAGGATCCTGCACTTTCAAGTCACACCTCCATGTTGGTATAAGAAAATAGGCAATAAGAACATATGATGCTCTTGAGTTCCATCTCGCATTGTGCAATGGACAAAGCTTATGCCACTTAATTTTTGGTAATCTTTTTTTGATTCTTGAAGTAACAAAACGCAAACCTAGGTTTATGTAATAATTAGGGTATGCTTCAGATGTATAATTTTTTTGAAAATTTACTTAATTTTTAGTTAAATCCTTTAAACTTATTATCAAAACCAGGAGCTATTGATTTGTAATTTACAAAATATTGATTTGTAATTTACAAAATGATCTAAAACATGTTTTAAAATGAGATCCAGTATATGATGCCAACAACCTAAATATTGCGGTTTAATAAACAACCTAAAAATATTGTGGTTTAGTAAAGCCTCTGGTTTCCATTTCATTTTGTATTTTTACAACTATGCCATTTAATTTTCCTGTGTTTACTGCTGTTGTGTCACGTATAACCATTGTAATACATTTCCATGCATCAAAACCATTTGACAAAGGTAAATCCCATGATATTTTTAAAGGTTTAAAAATATCATGGGATTTTCCACTTTCACATTTAACGATTCCTAAATTGATTTTGTTATTCTCATTTTGTAGTATTACAACTTAGAATTCAGTCTTGTTTACTTTCTTTCCATCAAAACGTAGAAATGTTCTTCTTGTACTATTTTAGTATTTTTCTTCTTTCCCCTTATAGTTGTCTTATAGTTGATCTTCATATTCCTGTCTGACTTGGAGTTTCTATTTCAATACCTTTTTCATATAACTTTTTACAGATTCTAGCTGAATTATTTGTACTTAAAGATTCAGTTATCACAAGATTAGATGCTAACTTGGTTCTATTGTATACACTCTTTCTTGATTTTTTAATTTCCAATGGTTTATAATTACCTTGTGAATCTAAATCTGAACCACTTTCTTCTGATGCAGTTGAACTGCTAACTGGAAAATTATTTACTTTGCTTGTTGAAGTTGTATCTTTTGCATTACAAACTCTGACTTGAAGGATGTAACGACAAACTCTGACTTGAAGGATGTAAACTCTGAAGGATGTAACGACACTTGTGTGTTAGTACTGTGACCAACTTCTCATGAACTTAATTATTGTGTTATAAAATTTTTTATCTTCCAGATTAAGCCAAATGCCCTTAATATTGGTGATTTCAAAAAGATCATCATAAACAGGGGATTTCTTCCTTTTTTGTCATACATACTTGTCATGCTTTTCTATAACCTTTTCAATTTTTCTTTTAACTGATTTTTTAGAAATACTTAGAAAGTTGAGTTTTTTCCATAATTTACATATTTCAACAGCAAATAACTTTACTCTTCTTTTTCTGCTTTTTACATGTCAGGTAGTTGTAATGTCCAATAATAAAACTTTTTTATAAGCATTCTATTAAATGAATCTAATGGTTTTTCAATAAAAAGTAGATCAATTCTTGATGTTATACGTTTTTCAAATGAAACTAAATTTTTTATCCATACTCTTGAATATTTGTCAACAACAGTTTAGCTATATTTATCTAACATATTAGATAAATCTAAAATGCAAGGATAATATATGATATTAATATTCTGTTTTAATATTATTTTATAAAAATACTTTTCTTAAAAAATTTACTGTTTAAATATAAAATTAATTAAAAAGACATTGAAAATGCAAAAAATACATAATAATGATTAAGACATAAAACACATAAGTACTAACTATTTTCTGTATTTGTTTAATATTTCAGTTCAGAGCAACATATTACACAAGCGCAGAAAATAGTTTTACTAAGGTGTGTTTTATGCTTTATATCTTATTTAAAATTTATAACTTTAATAACTTAACTTAATTGTGCATGGGTGGGGGATATTTTTAAACTATATTCGATATTACTATGAAATTTTGATATTAACTATCGACTTCTCAGGTTTTTAAACTATGCCTAATTAAAACTGTGATAAAAGTTAAAAAATCATAACCCTAACATTTATATATATATATATATATATATATATATATATATATATATATATATATATATTATATATATATATATATATATATATATATATATATATATATATATATATATATTAGAATAAATTAATTACAATTAAATTTGAAACATAACTCAAAGTTTCACACTTTAAACATCTACAACACATTTTGGACCTTGTCTAGAAGAGAAGGAGCATCATCAGAAAATTCAACATAAATCTTAAAAAAAGAAGACTTTTTAGAGTTTAATGTAAGAATGTCTGGAAGATCATTGATTTAAATGGAAAACAATACAAGACCAAGAATAAAACTTTAGGGTATCATAGAAGTTACTGGAAAGGAAGAATGTTGGCCTTTAAAGATGACAATAATACTGTAGTTAGAAAAAAAGTGACTTAATCTCAAAAAAATTTTCAGATATACAATATAAAGCAAGCTCATGGAAAAGACCAGCATGTCAAATTTAATCAAAAGCGCTTGATATATCAAAAGCAATAGCCCAAGCCTCAACATCTCCATCTAATATATGTTTAGTTTCAACACTTATCAAGTCAGCCATTAAGCGAAAATCTTTAAAACTGGTTGTCAAGAAACGAATTGGAAGAAAAAAATTAATTGTCAGAAAAGAAGTTATTAGACTATTAGATGGGATGTTAGAAATTTGTTAGGGTTATGGTTATGTTGATTAAAGGATTAGGGTTAGGGTCAGGGTTAGGGTTATGTTGATTAAAGATTCAAGAACATTGCTAATAATAGAAAGAAGACTGATCGGGCAATAGTTAAAGAAGTAAGAGTGTTCTCAAGAGTTTTTTAAAAATTGGAACCAAAGATACTATTTTCCAGCAGGCAGGAAAACATGACTCAGTCAAGCACTTATTAAATAGTAAGAGAGAATCAAAGAGAGTTCAGGAGAATGCTTTTGTAAGACTATGACAGGTATGTTGTCTGGACCGCAAGCCAGAGTTTAATTGAGAAAAAGAGTTTAATTGAGAAATGACGTTAGCAGAGGAAGATGGAGTGATTTGGGTGTCTATTGGTTAACCTGTTTAATTGGAATAATAAATTAATTACCATTTAATTCAAGAGTAAAAAGGAAAAATCTTTGCAAATAGTTCTGCCTTATCCTTTGAGGGAAGGGGGTAATAGGATCAAACTATAAACTAAAGATAGAATGTTTGACTTTGTTAATGATTTTCCGAAAGTCTCTAGAGTTTAACTTTTAAGATGTTATATGAGATTTAGTAAACAGGAAATAAGGCAACATCATCTTTTTAACTTTATTTATTGCAATA